TTTACAACACTGTAATTTAATTCGTATTTTTCTGCACAATTTGGCTAAAAACTTTTGGCCTAAAGTCGGCATTTTCTCTCTACTAGGGTAGTGCAAGAATATCTAAAAAAATTGATTCAAGATTCGAAAAATTTATGTCACGATTCTTCCTACGATGCAGTAACCTTACGTGTCAATCGTCTGATAGAAAATTCAACACGCATCTGTAGTGAAATTTTGGAAGAAAAGAAGCATATCACTTTTGAAATTTTGAAAGAAGAGAAGCATATCACTTGCACTATAATCATTATATTAAGTTTTATTTTTAGTGGAATATGTATTATGTGTGATATATTTCGTATAAAAAAAAAATAAAAAATTTATCATAAAAAAATATCTTTGGACTCCAAAAAAGTGTCATCAAGTATCAGAAGTAAATGTTGAAGAAGGAGTTGACATTATCGAATATCCTCTTGTTTGAAAAAAAAATTGAAAAAAAAATAAAGAAAAATAAAAAAAATAAAAAATTAAAAAATCAAAAATAAAAAGAAATAAAAAAAATAAAAAATAAAAAAAAATGAAAAAAATCAAAAATAAAAACATAAAAAATAAAAAATAAAAAAATAAAAAATAAAAAAAATAAAAAAAAATAAAAATAAAAAAAAAGATATAGGATAGGATAAAGATATAAAAGGAGTACTCTCTTCTGGATTTTTTCATTCACTTCCTGGAGCTCAAAGGATCTTGATCATTGGAGGAGTGGAAGAAAAAAAATGAGTCTTAAATTTCTGAGGAGCTACATCAACTGGAACTTGCTTTTGCAGGATCCAGTACTAACTTCCAAAGTTGCTGAAGCTGGTAAATCGGACAACTTGTCTTGGCAGCTCATAGAAGAGATTTCATCGTACATTGACTTCGATGAGATGTCTAATAATCCCAACACTCCAGAAAATATTCTTCATAACCACTCGCATCGATTAGATTTTAGACGTTTGCCTCTAAACAACTGTCATCTTTCAATCGACTTTATTCGTTCTCATGGAGTGGCCTTAAATAAATGTTGGGATTTGATTTCATCGAAAATTCTTCTTTCTGAGAAAGAAATGGAGGAATTCAGTTATCTTCTAGATTGGAGAATAGCTTCTCGTTACCAGAAAATGTCAGAAAAATTTATCAAAAAATTCAAACATAAAGTAGATTGGGAAAATATTGTAAAATATCAAAAAGTGTCGAATGACTTTATTCTTGAAAATTGTCCCAAGGATTAGTTCTATGATATTTACATAGATGTTTCTTTTGTGATGTGAAGTAATAAAATCAAGTAGTGGAATAGGCCTACTGGGGATACCACTTTAAAAAAAACGCGCTGATAACCCTACCTCTATGGTGGTGTGGAAACGGGTTTCTCCATAGCAATAAATTGCTCTAGAGTGTTGTCACAATGTGTTCTGGCGTCCGTAGGCTGCAGTGTTGGCATGATGTGTTCTGGCGTATATTTGGGGGGG